TGCAGCAGCACGGTTCTATCCCCTGCCAAGGAGCTAAACCACATGATATAACAGACCTCTCCTGTCTTGCCCACTGCAGTTTATTTCAGTACATCTGCCTGTTCTGCTCCCCAATCTGTCTCTGATGAACCCACTCACTTCACGCATCTCTGGCCTGCACCCCACCTCTTGTGTGTATAAATAAATCAATCTTGGGGGGGGGGAACTACAGGTACCTGCTAGTAAGACTATTAGAAAGAGCTATGATAACATAAGCAATCATGGAGCAGTTGCAATAAAATGGAGTAAAAGTGGAAATACATATTAAGCCTTGTGTTAAAAGGAGAAAATTTATCAACCAGAAACCCATGATCTTGCAGCAATTTATCTTCCTTCTCTATTCTACCCTCTCACCACATCCAAAGAGGATCCCTTCCAATATTTACATTTACTCATGATTCCCCAATTTTCCTATTCTTTCTCTACTTACCCTAAGTCAAAAATATTCACCATCCATCAAAACTCACTTTTAATACTGCTACTCCATTAAAACACACCCCACATTTATTCTTCCAACCTTTACCCCATTAGAAATTTTCCCTCCATTAAAATGTCCTAGTCATTTGTTTCCTTCCTATAACATTTAAAATCTGGCCATATAGATTGTTTTCACCTCTACATGATCAAGTTCTTTAAGAGAAAGATTCAACCTGTCAGTCTTTCACAACTAAGACATTATATTATTTGCCCATGGTTAAGTACATAAAAGGGAAAAAATACGCACGCCTCTAAATTATTCTACAACTCAGTAGTTTAGAAAAATGTGGCAGAGAAAGAGATTAAACTGAGCGAATTTTTTTTTATTCTACGGCTCTAACCAGTTCTGGTGAATTAAATCACCTATGCCTATAATCTGCCACCTGTGAAGGTAACAGAAAAACAAATATTTAAAATTTCATTCAACAACCTACAGTTGCCTTGGGAATACACACCATTGATAGTTTTCATGCTGATTCATCCCAATTATCAAGAATTAAATCTTACTAGATGCATCTCTATGTACTAGCCCAATTTACCCTATCAAATTATTTTTAATGACTATTCCAAAATTCTTGCTATCTTTCAGAGCAGTATTAGCCAGGCAAGATCAATCAACCTAGTTTAAATAAACACTGACCAAACACACACTCCACAATCTTATTTCAGCAGACTTGGCTTCTTCATCTAAGTTTAGATGATTTAAAAATCAAAGATTCTACTAACCTAAGCATTCTAAGAAACTACTTTGAAGGAGGCAATATGGCCTGAGTATATGCAAGTTAAAAGCCATCATTCTACCAAATCCAAAGTAATAAAATGCTATAAAACCTGGAATTCACCTTTTTAAAACTCCTATCAAAAAGAACGACAATGTTTTTTAATGTTAAACTTGACTATGGTGCACTGGAGTTCATTATACTATTGGTTCCATTTTGGTGTATTTTTAAATGCCTTTATAAGCAACTTAAATAATTATTTCCTCAAAAGTTTTGTTTTATAAGAACCACATGACACACAGGAAAAAAGGACTTAACCTATCACCTTAGCTATTGGTACTGCTATGTAAAGTTACATATGCCCTCACAGAACACTAAACAGTTTCTTTTTTTTAAAGATTAATTTATTTATGCATACAAGAGCTGGGGTACAGGCCAGAAATGGCGGGGGGAGGGTGGGGGGGGAACGGCTGAGATGATTCACCAGAGATAAGAGTGGGAAAACAGAACAGGCAGACTGAAATATACTGCTGAGGGGAGCAGCGGGAGAGACAGGCGAGGTCTGCTTCACCACGTGGTGGCTCCCTGGCAGGCCATGGGAATGGAACTCGGCCATGGGGATCGAACTCGTGCTGCAGAGGCTGTGGATTGCTTCATAGTACAGTGTTTAACCCCATGCACCACCAGGGAGGCCCCAGAATTAATAAGTTTTATATAAGAAAAATCTGTAGCATAATACATATCAAACACTACAAGAAAAATCTCAAGAACTAGAAGTTCCATCAATCCCTTTTTATGCCTCATAGTAATTCTTCATTTCACATCCTCGTAATTGTCCTGAACACTCAGATTTTTAAAAATCTACAATACTTTTAACGCTACCAGCAATTAAATTTAATGTATAAAATGCACCATTCCTACTGAAAAGACATATAATACCCTCCTACCAATTATTTCCAAGTTATTGGAGGGCTCATTTTTGAAATTAGGAGATGTATATACAGAACTTTCAATGCTAAACCTAACCTCAACTTACTAAGAGATTACTATTAAACATTTAAAGACTACACTAAGTGGGCCTCCCTGGTGGCGCAAGGGTTAAGACGCAATCTATGAAGCTATTTGCAACCACTGCTACACAAGTTCGATCCCCCTGACCCCACCAGCCAGGGAGCAACCCACATGGTACAGCAGACCTCTCCTGCCATGCCGGCTGCTCCCCTCAGCAGTATACTTCGTCACTCTGCCTGTTCTGTTCCGCGCTCTGGCTCTGGTGAATCCTCTTACCCTTCTGTGCTTCTGACTACCCAGTGCTTGTATAAATAAATAAATAAATCTTTAAAAAAAAAAAAAAAAAAAACTAAGAAAATAGAACATTTTAAAAGATATTCCAGCAGTTCAACTGATTATTCTTTTAGAGTTTTAAGAAAACTTAAAGGGGGGGATGGGGGTGAGCCTCCCTAGTGGTGCAGGGGTTAAAGATACAGAGCTTGATTCCCAGAGTTCAATCCCCAGACCACCAGGGAACAACCCACATGGCTCAGCAGACCTCTCCCATCTTGACCACTGTTCTCCTCAGCAGTGTATTTCAGTAGATCTGCCTATTCTGCATCCCACTGTTTCAGGTGAATCCTCTCATCCCTTGCAACTCTGGATTACACCCCAGTTCTTGTATGCAAAAGATAAAAATAATAAATCTTAAAAAAAAAAAAAGAACTAAGTGGGGAAAGGGCAAGTCTTAATCTATTATTCTAGGAGGGGAAAAACAACTGATACAACCTAATCTCAATTCCAACTATAAAATTCAAGCTAATGCAATTTTGCTAAGTAAAACCTTTCAGTAACACCAGCAAAACAAAATAATTGCACCATTGTAAGAGCATCTGGTTTGATTATCACTGTTTTCCTATTTAGTCCACCTATAGGGAAAATGCATAAAGATCGCCTAGAAATAAGACCTCAATGCTCCTAATTTAAAAAGGCCTGCCAATTCTCTGTAATAAAAACCATACATAGCAATCAATTATCCAATTGAACAACTTGTCCCCCAAAATTTTGCAGTTTACTGTAGGAGAGCATAACACAACCAGACATCCCCTCGAGCTCACACAAAAACCACCTGTACAAAACACTTTGATGAAGATTTTCCAAGTTATGGTCTCTGGAGAGCAAAGGCACAGGAAAAAAAAAAACAACACTCAACTTCCCAGGAAGACTTTAACTTATAATCACCCACCATGTCTTAAAGACACTAAGGATTTCTGAAAACATCCAGCTCCTGACGTTAAAAGAACAGTGTGCTGGAGAAGACAGGGAATTTTATTTGCTGGGATTCCAGGATTCCTACTCCTAAACTCCCATAAGGCAATTCTATTACTTACTCCCACATTTTTTGAAGGAAGAAACAGAAAAAGGACATCCATCTGTTTACTTTTCTAAATGTCTTTCAATTTGCAGATAAGGAAAGGTATGCAGACTAATTTGTTTTAAAGTCACAAAAAGCTTTGTCACTCATCTGAGGTAGTGATTCTTCCAGGGAGAATATGGTAATTACTTCATTCCCACAACCTGATAAATTGCTCCTTCTCTGCAATTTTAAGTTATAGCCTTAAAGAGCCACTGTTAAAAATGAGAAGGTGCAATATGTATTAGGTGTGTGCGTGCATGCATGCATGCCATAGGGATTCTGTAAGGGGAGGGAAGAAGGGAGTGCAACTGAAGTAAAAATTGAAAATCACTGTTCTCAAAAGTATCTTGGTTGCAAACATCATTCATTAAACCTCAGTATTTGCTGTAAGATTTAAATTAACTATGCCGTACAGCATTTTTTTCTTTATGACACAAATAAACCACATTCTAAGAAAGTTATTAGCATGAAACTTGAAAGACAGGGCCTCCCTGGTGGCGCAAGGGGTTAAGTCTTAGCACTATGAAGCTATCCTGCAGCCACTGCAACAGGAGTTCAATCCCCCTGCCAGGGAGCTACCCACTTGGTGCAGTAGACCTCTCCTGCCTTGCCTGCTGCTCCCCTCAACAGTGTTTTCAGTCAGCCTGCTTTTCTGTTCCCCACTCTGTCTCCTGTGAATCCTCTCACTCCCGCCACTGTACCTCTGGCCTGTACCCCAGTTCCTCTATGCATAAATAAATCTTTGAGAAAAAACAACATAAAAAAATAACTGGTTCCCTTTAAATTGGGGCTTTAAGGCCATGTAAAGTACAGACTCACAAAAGCCTGATTTCTAAGGGAAAAAAATAGTTTGACACTCCATCTTTTTGTATTCCTCAAAAACATGGCTCCTACTCATTTTAAGCAAGCTAAAACTACCAAGTTCACAAACAAAGCATAGGATATGAAAAGCAAAAGGTAACATCTGTTCAAAGAAAAATGTTGAGGACAATATATTCTTCCAATATAATAATAACTCCTATATATTCTCCTAATACACACACGTTTTATTTTTAAGAGAAAATATATCACCACTTTAGGCAACACCTCCTCCATCCCTCTTTATTTTTGAACCAGGTAGGTTAATTATCCCTGTCTGCATAAAAAGAAATGGTTTTAAATTAAAAACTTCAACCACACTATTTCAAAAGACTCTCAATTATAGTTTGATATCAGCTGTTTATCCAAACTTATTCTCAGCCTAGTTCTAAAATTTTTAATCTCAGAGTAATTTCTAAAATGCACTCTTAATACAACAGCTAACAAATGTATTAAAAATTGACCAATAAGAATTTTCATATAGGAAACAAATGAGTTACCTTTAGTGTGATATACAATAGCAGCCCTCAGGTCAAAAGAACCCCAGCTATCATTCCCTTCTAGGCCTCTCTGGTATCTCTGTTCTTTGGCAGAGCCTAACAAAGTGTTCGTAGGAGAGGCCAGAGGATTTTGATTTTCTATCTCGTAGTCCTTTGAGAGAAACACTAAAGCACCTTGACTACTGGTGTCTGCTTTTTGCAGGTCACCTATATGACTGGATTCCAATGATAAGGCTCCACTCTCACTAGTAGTCCCAGATTTTAGAATGCTGCCCAGAACTTGAGGACTAGTCCGTTTTTCCAGCTCATAGGCCTTGGGAAACACAGGATGCTCAGTTCCTGAGGGGAGTATTTCGGCACCCTGTGAAACCAAAGTGGCAGGATATTCCCCTTGAAATGTCACCTCCATCACTTTATGATCTGATGACTTCCCAGTAACAGTGTCAGGGCCAGCACTGGGCTCATTTATAAATGATAAACCCCACTGATTCTGGAAGATATCCCCCAGGTTTTGTTGATCTGTCTGAGAGGGTAGATCCACTTGTGCTGTGCTCAACAGCACAGTTTGCATATTTGAAGGGTAGATAAAAAGGCTAGACTTAATTTGTTCAACAGCTGCTGAAGTCAGATTCATGTCCTGGAGAACTGAATCAGTCCCAGAAGAGATGGGTGTTAGAGTATTAGCAGCAGTGGTTAGCAGTGGCTGACCCCCTGGAGAATACACACTTGCATCAGTCCCTGCTAAAACAGGTCCATTAGAAAAGTTGGCTGAAGTAACAGATTTCAGCGCTGACATAGGGACCTGGGATAACCGACTTGAAGACTGAGTCTGAGCTTCCCCAGCAGATGACGAGGAAGAGGATGATGATGAAGATGGTGACACGGAAGAGTTCTGTACAGTTTTGTTGAGGTTTTCCTTAACTTTGCTTGCATAACTTATTTTAGGAACTATTTTAGCACTGCTATTGTCCACTGGAAAAACTGGGGGTGGTTTAAATAGAGTCCACGAGTCCTCTTTGGAGGCAACAGCAGAAGCATGCTTTCCTTTGGGCCGATCATCAAACTTTTTGCTGCTCACACCAGGTTTAATATCAGAACTTTTCCGTAGCATATCGCCCATGGCAGGTTTTCCTCGACTTGTTCCTCCAGGACCAGCTTCATACTTCCAAATGGGCTTTGAACCATCTACTCGATTTCCCTTTTGTTCATTACAATCAGGCTTGAAAGTTTCAAGTCCCTGTTTTAAGGTTGGGACACTTGTCTCTTGTTGCATTATTTTGTCCTGCACTAAATTAAGGTTTTCACAACCCTTGGCACTATTGCGCCTAGCTTTCCTTTTTTTAGGAGTGGTATATCCACTCTCAGATCCACTACCATCATTATCTGCCCCTTTGCCCATATAACCATTAGTGATATAGCCAGAATTACTTGTTACAACAACACCATTTGGAATAGCTATAATATCAGTCTTTTCTACAGACTGGTTCTCTCCAGATTTATTTTCATAAGACTTCCCATTCTTTTTGTCCATACTGTTTTTCTGAATAAAATTTCTGGTTTTAATTCCTGCTTTTCCAAAGGTGCTGGTCTTTACAGTCTGCTTCAGATTAGTGTCTACAATTTGGTTGCCATTGATGACCCTGGAAATAGGGGTGGTGGTTTCATCAGAACCCAGACTCTTTAAAGATATTTCTCTTTCTCCAGCATTACCATTTAGTTCACCATAGCCTGAGGAGGAAAGAAAAAAAGTTTTAAAAATTACAATATGTAAATTGCAGTAAAACCTGTTTACTTACTGTGTGCTAGACACTATGCTATGAGCTTTAGCTTTACCTGTTATATTTCACAACTCTGAGAAGACACTTATGCCCATTTTATAGATTAGGAAGTCTTCTAAGTAAGAGACAACTCAGCTGGGATTCAAACTAAAGTGCAAGATCAGAAAGAACAAGTCCTCCTCAGCAGTATGCCATAATCTCCCTCTCATTTAACAAAAAGCAACCTCCCAATCATTCTTACAGGCTGTTATAAAATTTCTTTTACAATTAAGAGCAGAGCTACCCTCCAGGCAAAATCAAGTTAGGGCTGGTGGTCATCATCTTAAATAGTTTCTACTACATTCTATCACACAAAAAATCTAACATTTGAATTATTCTATCCTAGTCCTAAATCAAATATTTCCCACATCATACTTAAGACTAGATCATAAAATGTTTGAAATCAAATTACCCATGTACCAATGTTTCTAATCTTCGTAAGATATTTTCTTCACTTTATATTTCGGTAAACAGATTCTCAGAGAAACTAAGTAACTGACCTAAGCCACAAAGTCAAAGAACTAAGGCCTCCCTGGTGGCGCAGGGGGTTGAGCACAGCACTGTGAAGCAATCTGAAACCTCTGCAGCACAAGTTCAATTCCTGGCTGGCCAGGGAGCTACCCACATGGCACAGCAGACCTCTCCCGTCTCACCTGCTGCTCCCCTCAGCAGTGTATTTCGGTCGGTCAGCCTGTTCTGCTCCCCGCTCTGCCTCTGGTGAATCCTCTCACTGCCCCCACACCTCTGGCCTGTACCCCAGCTCTTGTATTCATAAATAAATAAATCTTAAAAAAAAAGTCAAAAAACTAGAAATCTTGAACTCTGTCTGGAACCCATGATTTCCTATCACTATGAAATACAGCCTACTCAATGTCTCTTAGCAGAAAGCAAGTATTCACTAACAACTACAATGAAAGGTATCTTTCATTCAATTTTAACTATTATAAACTTGTTTATTATTATAGGTTGTTCAATTGGGTCAACAACTTTTCCCATTTCCTTACTAGTAAAAAAGGTGTAAGTTATCTTTCCATGAAATGTTCCCAAAAGCATCTTGAGATCAAGTCATGAGAAAAAGATGCATGATAGAAGAATACATTCATTTAAGGCAACTCTTCAGGGAATGGAGGATAAAATAATACCAAGTTATTTGCATTTGTCACTTTCATTCGGTCTTCAACTTCTGAAGCCTAAAACACACATGAGCCTGTGTGTTTTTGTTTAGTCAATATGCTAAACAGCAACTGACATAACGCAAATCAAAAGTCCTTTGTACATTTTAAGAGTATAAGGACATATTAAGATTTTTTTTTAAGTTTGAGAACCACTGTTTTAAATGAACTTGATATGGTATATAACATAATTTAGGAAGATTCACAACATCACTTACTATAATTTTAAGTCACTCATTCTCCAGAAAAAAAGGAGGGAACACTAAAAATGAGGAAAAAAGGCATTTTCTTCCACAGAATTAACTTTAAGGAAATAACAAAACATACTTAAGACATTCCTAAAATAGACTGGCACAGGACTTGTACCATGCAAGAATGTATTCTATGAAGGTCTTACCTTCTGTAGAGTTACATTTTATTTTTGGCTGCTGAAAAAGCTGTAATAGCCAATCAAGTCAAAATCTAACTATGAAACAATAAGGCAGAGATCACTGTTTAGAATGTCTTCTAAAAATTCAATACTCTAAATATTTTAAGCAGATCTAAGCTGACCCTTGCACAACTCTAGGCCCAAGAGAAGAAACTGCTTATGTCATGTAACATATTAATAGGTTAAAACAAAGTTTTGTATCATTGGGCCCACTAACCATACTCTTTCAGAGCTCAAAGACAGTCTGTCTTAAAACATCCAAAACCAAAATAAAACAAAATTCATTGTCCAAACTAAGCTAAACCAAAACCAAGACAAGTGAACTGAAATAATGCTTCCTAAGATTACTAATATTTCATAGCTCCAAAATCAGAACTCACTGTATAAACACTTCAGAGACCACTATACATCCATCTCCAAGTTTTAATGACAAAACAGCTTTCACTTAACTATATAAATTTCCCCATGGCAACTTTGTTGGTATGCCAAAAGTCTGCCAGAGAAACATTTTCTTTTTAAAATTTAGGTATTTAAAAGAATGTAATCACTAAAAATTACTGAGAAAAATCATAGAACTGCTAGTGCTAAAGCATCTAACCCTACTTCAAATGGATTCAGTAAAACTTCAGTCTTGATGAATTTTGCTTTTTGAATTAGAAAACAAAATTACAGGAATAAATTTGGCCCTCTCCTGCGCCCTCTTCTGGATAAAGAAAAGCTGTTCCTCTTTGGGTTTGTGGGTAATGGGTCATAAAGCCAGCCCCAACATATTAGATATATTTTAAAAATTTTCATTAATTCTCTTAGTGTATTAGCATTGTGCATGTTGAAACAACAGTATTGTGACCAGGACACATGAGAAACTGCTCATCTCAAATTGTTTACATTCTCTCTATGTAGCTAAGACCAGTTTCCCCTATTTGTGCCCTTCTAGAATAACACATACTAATTTGAAGGATGCCAACTTGAGTGGTTCAGGGAGCTGCTTCCACATGTAGAGTCCTTCAGAGAATCATCAATACCTGACTGACAAAACACAATTTTCCAATCTGAAAATACAGCATATATTCCAAGATTTTCTCACCTTAAAGTTGAAAAAGTGCTAACATTAAAAAGATCTAGTGCTTTATAAATTCTTACAATTTTTAAACTATTATAAATCCTTAGGATTAAACACTCTTTACACAGATATATGTTCACTTCTACAGCACACCATCAGTCTCCACCATGCCCAATATGGAAAGTCTTGACATTCCAATTTCAGTCTTCAAAGTTACATTAAGTCTGCAACAGAAAAGCAGATTTTCTACAGTTCTCAGAACTGTTTGACATGCTGGGTTTAACAAGTCACTTAGTCACTTTCTTACCATTCCCTTCATTTACTTTTTATTCATTAGGAATCCTTTCAAAAACAAAAATAAAATCTGCGTGGTTATAAACTTTTGAGTTCATTTCTTTTCAAATGTTTTTAAAAATGACTTTGACCCTCAATCTAACATTTGCTAAAAACAGAGTTTGGGGGATCAATATCCGTTTTAAAATGGGAAAACACCTTTCTTTTTAAGAAGAAAAAAAAAGCCTCATCTGAAACAAGATGGTAGTGAACTAAGCTCATGGATGAGCCACCTCGTTTCACCCTTAAGGACAAGAAAGAAGGGTCAAAACAACTCGCCCTCACCGTCATCCAATCAAGTATTTTTTAATCCCTCTCCTCAAAAACACTACCCAAGCCCAGAAGGTAAATGTTGGGGGGGGGGCTAAAGGGAGATGGAACAAGATTTTTTTTGGGGGAAGGGGGGGTAAAAAATGAGCTGCTGGAAGGAAAGGGCCCAAGTGAAAGCCTAAGAGGCGGAGTCGTGAGCGAACCTGGCAGAAGACGAGGTTCCTGTGGCAGAGAAACTCGTGACCGGGGAGCCTGGTTCCCGCTGGGTACCCCACCCGGCCTTCAGGCACCGCCTCTACCGAAAATGTGCCCCCCTCCTTCCCAGCTCCCCGGCCCCGAGGAGGGCCGCGGTCGCCACCCGCGGCCTCCTTCTCCTTGGGCTCCGCTTCGACGCCGACTCTCCACCCCGACCGCCCGCGCCTCCCGCCGCACCAGGGAGCGGGAAACAGGGCCGGCGGCGCGCGGGGCCCGGCGCAGGCCGCTCCCCTCGTGGCCGCTTCCCTCCCCACCCCCAACCGCCCCGCCCCTCACCCCAGGGACCCGCCCGGGGCCGCGCGGCCGCCACCGGGTTACACAACCCGGCCGGCGACGGGGGGGAGGGGTGGCCGCGGGCCGGGGGTGTCCCCGCAGTGCCTGGGGCGAGGCGGCGGCTGGTGGGGATACCGAGCCACCGGCTCAGCCGCGCCGAGTGCCCCTCGACACCCTTCCCCCTCCGCTCCTCAGTGGGCCGGAGTCGGTGACAGGAATCGGCTTCCAACATGGCGGACAGGAAGCGGCCCCGCGAGAAGGAGAGAACATTCCAGCCGCGCCGGCTCTGGGGGGAGCGGACCCGGGGCGCGGGCCTCGGGAGGAGCTGCGGGGACACACTGCGGGGTCCGGCGCCCAAAAGAGGCGCTTAGGGGTGGAAACGGCCCGAAAGACAAGGGGTCCCAACCGCCCCCCTCGACAGGGAACCCCAAGGCCACAGGTGGGCTTGGGGTGGCGGGTGAGGGAAGACACTTCCTCAACTCTGTCCACCTATCCTCTCCTCACCGCCTGCAAAAGGGCCTCGCGACACCACCAGAGTGGAGGTTGACTAGGCCTTCCTGAGTTACACCCCGAAGATTTGGGGGGCTAGGTTCGCCCTATTCAGGACCCCGAAATTAACGTCCCTCAGGGCCGCTAAAAGGTAAACGGGAAAGAAATAAGGCGAGACTTCCCCCGCCGACCGGCCGGGTCTCCCTCCAGCCCGGGCGGGGGCCGGGAAGGTCACACCGGCCTGTTTGGGCCTCTCCCATGCTGAGGAGGATAGGGCGCTGCACACCCCGCGTCCCAGGCCGAGCTTCGCGAATGAAAAAGAGCTTTCCAGACCCGCAAGGCACAGACACGCACACACCCGACCCCGTCCGCGCTTTCCAGATCCAGCCCCACCCCCATCTCCCCTACCCTCCCTACCCCCTTCCCCCACTCGTCCTCCCTTCCAGACCTATTTTCTTCTTCGGCGTTTCCTGGTGCTGCTGGAGGGCGTGTTTCTGCTCATGTTTCAGCGGCTTCGGCTGGGCCTTGGGGCTGCCCTCGGCTCCATGCTGCAGGTACTGGTGAGACTGCTGGTGATGGTGGTGGTGATGGTGGTTGTGATTGTAGAAATAATAATGGTGGTGGTGGTGCGACTGCTGCTGCTGCTGCTGCTGGGGATGGTGGTGCGGATGGTGGTGGCTGTGATGGTGCTGAGGCTGTGGCTGGCCGGACTTCTCCTCCATTGAAAGCGGCTGGGACTCCCTGGCTGAGGCTGCGGGCTGCTGCACCGTCAGGATCTGAGGCTGCTTCTCAGAGCTCACTCAGTATATCTGAGCGCGTCTCGCCAGCGCACTGGTTAACCGAGGGAGGCTGCGAGATTGGCAGCCGCGCTCCAGCAATCAGGAGCCACGCTGCGCGGCAGGCCCCGCCCCTAGCCCAAATCCTCTTTCCTTCCCCTTTGCCGCTGCCTCCTGGCCAACGCCACTTACCCTATGCAACCTCACTGGGCCCGGCCTTCAACGTCAGCACTATGGCTCTCTCTTCTGTCGCTTTCTCTTCTTCACCGCGCAGTCTGCGAACAGCACTTTCTACACTCCTGGCCCTCAAGCAAGCTCGCGTCGAGTGTAGCAGATTCCACTGGCGATTTCACTGGCTCTGGGAGCCATCTGATGGTTTTGCACCTCCTAGAATCCGGTGGCTTGAAAAAAAAATCTTTTCCGGGTAATCAGAGGGGAAGCTCAGTTCCCTTAACCCTGAGACCACTAGAGGGGCAATACAAAAAGAGGAAATAAATACATTTTTAAGAACACAAGAGCTTCACAATCTAGCAGATCATTTTGTATTCTAGATTCATTTTGCTTTGTATTCATATGCTAATCTCTTCCTTTCCACGAAGGGATTATAGGGTTCCACAATGGGGTATCTGTGTAATTTTCTAAAAGGGCACAAAGGGTTTAAATCATTGTTTCTTGTAGTTCGAGGCAAGAGAGAGCAGGAGGAATTAAAATCTACACTAAAGTAGATATGTGTGTGTGTGTGTGTGTGTGTGTAACTTTGCAGGTGAGGTCAACTGTGGAAGCAAGACAGGTTTTAGAATGTGAAGTTTCAAGAGCAAAAGAAAGGGGAAAGAACAGTTTTTTAAAATTTGTATTTGTGAAAAATACCGTTTGTAGTGTTGATGTAACTTATTCTGCATTATCACATCAGAGACTAGGGATTTTTTTAAAGTCAAATGTTAGTCAGGATAGTGGTTACCAAGGAAGGAAGTAAAGAATTCCAATGGGGAGGGACACAGGGTTACCCTTTGGTTATATTTTATTTCCTGACCTAGGTGGTGATTACACATAATTTGCTTTATAATTATTTCTGAAACTGGATATATATGTATAACACGCTTTTCTTGTTGTATGTTATATGGGGGAAATTTTTTTGTTTACCATAAAACATAAAATTACCTCTTTAGTCATTTTCAAGTATACGTTCAATGACAGTAAGTACATTCACATTGTTGTGCAACTACCACCATTGTCCATCTTCAGAACTTTTTCATCATCCCAAACTGGTACTCTGCATCCACTGAACAACAATGGCTCTCTCATCTCCCCAACCCCCGGTAACCACTATGCTATTTTCTCTCTCCAGGATCCTCATACAGGTGGAATCAGATCTTTTGTGTCTGATTTATTTCACTTAGCATAATAATGTCTTCAAGATCTATCCATGTTTTGCTTTGTATCAGAATTCCCTTTTTATTTTTATTTATTTTTAATTTTTTTTAAAAGATTTATTTATTTATACAAGCACTGGGTACAGTCAGAAGCACGGGAGGGTGAGAGAATTCACCAGAGCCAGAGCGGGGAACAGAGCAGGCAGACCGAGGAAGTACACTGCTGAGGGGAGCAGCGGGCTGCAGGAGAGGTCTGTGCACCATGTGGGACCCTCGCCCTCCCGGTGGATCGGGATCGAATCGGTGCTGCAGAGGCTGCGGCAGCTTTGCAACCCAGCGCTCAACCGCTGTGTCACCGGGGAGGCCCAGAATTCCCTTTTTAAAGCTGAACAATATTCCCTGTATGTATATGTCACATTTTGTTTACCCTTTTATTTGGAGATGGACACATGGATTCTTTCTCCAATACATTTGTAATTTACAATTTTTAAATGTGACTTCAATTCCTATAGCAGGACAACATAAAACACTTGAAAGTAAATTCATGCTCTAAGATAAATGTCAACACAAAAGCATAATTAAAAGGTAAAAAGCCCATTTCCAAAGGTAAATGTCAGAATCTAGACAATCATGATTAGTCCTCGATTTGTTCCATATAGTGAGAATTTGCATTGCCTCGCTAAATTTTATTTTATTTATTTATTTTTGTTCTTTAAGAATGTAAGTATAGTGGGGAAGACAAATATTTTTATAAGTACTTACAAGTTTCTTATTTTCAAAAATGACAGTTATTTGACAGTTTCCCTTGTAGAAAAGAACTAAGGAGTTGGTCAAAATACATTTTTTTGTTTTTTCTTAATATTTTATTTTATATAATTTAGATCATTTTTCATTTTTGCACAATGTATGCATTTTTATTTTAATTATATTCCCCATACAATTACACCTCCCCTTATTTTGACCCTAGTCCTTCCTCTCCCCACCCGCCTGGCTAAATTTTAAAGAAAGAATCCTTTGGGTAGGAGGTGGAAGTACATTAACCCAATTTTGAGAGTTAAAGCCCCAATAATAATATATAATGACAAATAAGTTTTTGCCATTAAATAGTATTCCACACTTTCCTATCTACTAACAAAGAAATAAAAGCATATGTAGAATTTAGGATTATGTTGATATGTTTTAAATGCTTTTGCTGACTTAGACAAATAGTTGGAAGGCAAAATTCCTGAGTTCTAACATCTCTTTCTACACTTTCTACATTATAGTTGCAAACAAACCAAAAGCACTCACTTTTGAGTTTATTTATTTCATTCGCCTCTGTTCATTTCTTCACCGACAGTTACATAAAGTTTAAGAAACTAAACCTTACTTTCAGATGCGAAGTTACTATGAGTAGTATATAGTAGTATAGAGGAAGACTTGTGGTGTAATATAAAGAATATAAATAAAGTTGCAGAACGTTAAGTTCTATGTACACTAGATCATAACCTTGTAAAAACATGAATATTTTTATAAGAATGGAAATACAACAGTAGAATATATACTTTATATCTTATTTTTCTAAGTTTTATGTATTTGACATATTTTGTTATTACAATACCATAATATCAAACCTCAATGAAAGCGTATAATCAAGCATATTTTTGTAAAATGGAATCTGCACCAAAGAAAAACAAAATCATAAGGTGGAAATACAGCATAAATCTGGTGAAATTATAGGTGCTTTCCCCCATCTTTTCTCTATTTTTCAAATGTTCTGCTATGTAGTTACTATTTTTCATAATGACATTTTTTAATTGAATACCTCAAAACTGCAAAATCCTTTGAAATTCATTACACACAGCATGTTACCTACATTCAATATGAGAAGTTAAAATGGAGAGACAGGAGGTTCCCATAAATAATAGGTTAGTGTTTATTTATTTATTTATCTATTTATTTATTTTTCCCTCCACCAAACCACCCAGGCCTATACCCCATCTGCCTCTCCCCTCCATCCCCTTTCCCCTTCCCCCTAATCATTCTGGTAACCATTGTCTTCTTTGTCTAGGTTAACATTTTAATTATCACTGTAATCATAATAGTTAACATTTATTGAGTATTTACTATGTATCAGGAACTGTACTAAATATTTTATTTTCATTGCTGTATATAATTGAGATAGCATTAAACCCATTCTATAATGAGGAATTTGAGAGTGAAGAAGATAATTGCTTATAACTTATAGAGAGGGGCTTGAAATAGACTCCATGTCAGAGGAATAGAAAAAAAAAATCTAACACTATCAAATTGTGATGTACATTTCTAAAATTTTAATATACCTCTAAAAAGACATTCAAACTGGGGCCTCCCCGGTGGCACAGCGGTTGAGCACTGGGTTGCAAAGCTGCCCGCAGCCTCTGCAGCCTCTGCAGCCTCTGCAGCCTCTGCAGCGCCGGTTTGATCCCCGGCTGCTCCCTGGCCACCAACACCGGAGGAGGGTCCCACGTGGCATGCAGACCTCCCCTGCCGCCCGCTGCTCCCCTCAGCAGTGTACTTCGGTCCCTCTGCCTGCTCTGCTCCCTGCTCTGGCTCTGGTGAATTCTCTCACCCTCCCGCGCTTCTGACTGTACCCAGTGCTTCTATAAATAAAAAAATAAATCTTTTTTTTAAAAAAAAAGACATTCAAACTATATCATAACCATCATGAAGACAGTAAGCGCTTATTAACTGAGGCAAAGGTACTGTGAAGATAGTAAGATTCAAGGCCCCATGATGCATAGGACCCTCCACGGCACTGGAGAAGCCCAAGAAACAGTTTTCTGAAGGGCTAAATATTTTATTTTTTAAGGCTATAAGAGTACATTTATTAAAATATGCCACAATCAGGGCCTCCCTGGTGGCACAAGGTGTTAAGCACAGCACTATGAAGCTATTGCAGTCCATCCGTAGCACCAGGAAGGGCACAGTGCAGGTTTTCTATGATCCAAGCAGACCAGACCAGGTAAAGGAGGAGTCCTGGAGCCCTCAGTGGCTTTTTCAGGCTTTTATTGAGCTTTACATGTAGTGTGGCAAACAGGTACATGGCAGGCAGGGGGGCCAGGGGGCCAGAAGTCCGGAAGGCCTCCAAGTCTTCACTCTAGGCTTCTCTCTCTTCCGGCTTGCTTTCTCCCCTTCTCTCTCTTTTCTTTTCTCTCTTTTTTTTTTTCTTTTCTTTTCTCCCCTTTTGCTTCTTTTGGTGACTATCTCAATACTCCTCCCAAGGCCCACATAAGTAAACAACACAGCTTACAACAATGTAACAACTGCAGGTGCAACCATCAGGCAGAGCAATCCTAATGGTGGGAGGGCAGAAAAGCCTGAACACCATTTACCCTACAAGCCTCTGCAGCATTCCATCACCAGCCTGCCAAGGAGATACCACATGGCACAGCAGACCTCTCCTGCCTCACCAGCTGCTCCCCTCAGCGTGTCCTTGATCTGTCTGCCTGTTCTGCTACCTGCTCTCTCTGGTGAATTCTCTCACCCTCCCATGCCTCTGACCTGTACCCCAGTACCTGCATAAATAAATCTTTTTTTAATGATTTCTTTATTTATCCATACAAGAGCTGGGGTACAGGGCAGAGATGCAGGGGGATGAGAGGATTCACCAGAGGCAAAGTGGGGAGCAGAACAGGCAAATTAACTGAAAACACT